TTTGGTTTCAATTTTTATTCACCCAGTTTTTGCTTTGGTTTTTTGGGGATTTTTTAGGGAAATCTTTTTTTTTTTTCCAAAAAAAAATTTGATTTTCTTTTTTCCGGGGGGAAATTGGGTTAATCAATTTTTATATCATTAATTAATTAAAATGGTGGAATAGGCCAAAGCGTATCCATTAGATTATTGGTGTTTTTTCTTCTAATTAATATGTCACATTTTGCCCAATTAGCTTTGTTTTAAGATAATAAGCAAAAATAAAATCAATTATCAGGGGTCATTATAAAAATGCATTCAGTCAAAATAAAGGAGCCTTAATTACATCAAAAATACTAAATGGTTTCCTAGGAGGTGATAATGGAAGTTGCTTAAGGGATACTATTTACACTTTATCAGGATATACATGGAGTTCCATAGGGTATTCAATAAACCTTGAGATATTGTAAAAGTATGAAATAAATACCATGAAAATATGGTTGTGGGATGGTGATAATAGATATTATAATATTAAAATCTTCATCATATTAGACGGCCAAGAAACTTAGATTTATAATAATTTAGCGAAAAGTATATTGACGCTAACTTTTCCTAGTCAAATAGTCTCTGGATTTAGGGTACTAAATGTTGCAGGAAATACTTACAATCCTTTCTTGCACATTATTAAATTTGAAGGTTTCTATAAATTATCATGAGCAAATTAAATATATTTTAATCATAATTAGTAATAAACTAAATAATCAATTTTTAATTATATCGATTCAAATTATTTCTTATTTGATTTTTAATAGTTATAAACTATCAAACATTGTCCTTATCTGATCTTTATTTATTTTATTCTTGAGTTAACTTCTATCTAAATAGCAAGGAAGTTTGAATTCAAAGATTCCTAATTGCAATTTCTCTCAAAATAAAAATGTAATAAAATAAAAATTTAGTATTCGAAGCAGCCATTCTTTAAAATATATATCATCTTTCTTAAAGTAAAATTTTAATAGGTAAAATTTTGCATCTTAAATTATATTCATGATTGTATTTCAATTTTTTTAAATTTATTTTGTCTTTAATATTAAGGTAAATCCAGATGTGATACATATTTAAATTATAAAAAGACCCAACATCAATCGTATTTAGCCAAAATGAAAATAAATTATGATATTTAAATAGGTCCCAAAAGTAATTATACATTCTTTTTATTTTAACACCAAAAGATATTATTTTTATATTCTATTACAATACACAATTTTTGTAATGCATGCTCCTATTTCCTTAATTAAATAATTGTATTTATTTTTATTCATAATTATTTGGGAGTGTTAATTTTCCAATTTATTCTGGAATCATTTTAGAAATTGATACTTTGCATTCAGTTCAGTCGTTGGTTGAATTCTCTATTAATCCAATCAATTGATTTTTTCAACATAATAACATTATAATGATGTTTTCTATAAATTTCCTGTACAAAAATAGTTGTAACATTCAGTTTCTATCTCCTGCTTATGATTATTTTTAATTATTAACTTGAAATTCTCTAGCTGTTCCAATTGTTAATATTTATTTCTAATTACTTTAAAATTCATTTACTTTAATATCTCTTAGAACTAAAATATCAAGTGATCCAGAGTTTGAGTTTAACAATATCATTACTAATAAAATTTCTATTTGATGAGACTTATTTAGAGGATTATGTCCTAATTTTTGTTTTATCGAAATCCTAACAGAACCAGGTGTGAATTATGAGCCAGATTTTCAGAAGAAAATACTAATAATATATTGACCCGAAACTTATATTCTCATTAAGAAATTAATTTATCATGATAAGGGATATTATTGTAGGAAACGAAGGCAAAAAGTTTAAAGACTCTTGAGGGTGGTTTATCTCTAATTCATAAATATGAAGGCTTTTCTTTCTTAATATTGACAATCTGAGATTTGGTCCTTCTCTTTAATTCCTTATTTTACAATGACTACATCTATTTCTAAGGCTAAGCACATTCTCTCCTGGTCCTTTCAATGATGATCTAAGTGAGAAATCTTTTGTTGACACATATCCAATTTAATCACTCTCCCTTCAATATTTTCTAATAACATCGATTTTGTTGTTTTAAAGGGACAAATTTATTTTAAATTGGCTTATCAAAACATTGTCTACTTCATCAAGGTGTTTGATATCTTCTTTGGAATGTTACTGATAAAGATCTAGACGATATCAAAGTCAAGAAAAGGACACAAGCTTATGACATATGAGGATAAGCAGGTTAGATAACATTTAGGATTTGCGAATGCTAAAGGACCAAGAAATAGGATATAGATATCCAGTT